ATGCAGGTCTCATTAACTCTTAGGAAAATATTTTTCTACTACATGATTTAAACTATAGTTAAACTAGGACAAAGTAAAAATAAGCTACTAATAAGTCATTTGAGTCAGTAAGCAATCACAGAATATTTCCTGGCTTCAATTCCTTCTTATTCTTCTTATTTCTTAAACATCTTCTACATGCACTATGGTAGATTACAAAACAATTTAAGATATGAATCCTGTCTTCTAGAAGCCATTATCAGTTGGGAGGACAAGGCAAAATACATAAAACTTATATTCAATGGCAACGCAATATATGAGTAAGTGCCAAAATAAATGATATTAACTGATTTACAATGACTTCACTCCATACCTTTTCTAATTAAAATTTACCAGTTAGAAATTAATATTCAATTTCTTCTTTCACTGTTAAAAAAGTTGGCTTTTAATGAAGGAAAAGTGTTATCCTTGTATGGATTAGATCTCTCCCTCCCCTCATTTCATACACACACCAACATCAACACCAATACCACCAGACCCCACACACTAGGACAGTTTTTATACAGACCAAAGTTGGTGTGATTTTTATGCAAAGACCTAATCAAGAGTTTGCACCAGACTGCATCCAGACAACTAGATGGTGCCCAACTACCACCACCAACTGCTCTGACAGGGATCACAATAGAGGGTCCTGGACGAAGCAGGCGAAAAAATGCAGAACAAAATTCAAACTCACAAAAAAGACCAGACTTACTGGTCTGACAGAGACTGGCAAAACCCCGAGAGTATGGCCCCTGGACACCCTTCTAACTCAGTACTGAAGTCACTCCTGAAGTTCACCTTCAGCCAAAGATTAGACAGGCCTATAAGACAAAAAATAACACGTAGTTCAACCATGTTATAGGAGACTAAATGGGGACACCAGCCCAAAAGCAAAGACAAGAAGGCAGGAACGAACAGGAAAACTGGATGAACCGACATGGTTAACCCAAGGTGGAGAAGTGGAGTGTAGACACACCGCGGGGTTGGTAACCAATCTCACAAAATAATATGTGTATTAGTTGTTTAATGAGAAACTAATTTGCTCTGTAAACTTTCACCTAAAGCACAATACAAAAAAAAAAAAAAAAAGAGTTTGGCCCTGTTCAAATAGTAAGAGTAGCCCTCCTCCTGGAGCGCATCCTCCTGACCATATGTGGTAGACTGAAGGTCTCAATTCTTCATTTCCCCTGAAACACTATTATACATCCATATATAGCCATGGCCTGATAAAGGGTAAAGTGCACCTACCTACTCCTTGCATTTGGGCTTGGCCATATGATTTGCTTTAGCCAATGGGATGTGAGAGAAACAGTCTTGAAATGTGCTGGTGGGGTTGAGTTTGCCCTCTTGCATGTGTGCCATTGCCATGAGACAAGCTTCTTCCAGATAAATGCTACCCCTCCCTCTAGCCTGGATCCCAGAATGAGACACGTGGAGCAGAAACATGTATATTTACTGTTGTATGCCACTAAGATTTTGTGGTTGCCAATGATAATGCAGCACAAGTTGACTGAATCACCATATTTAAGAAATCCAAACAATCAGAACTGATTATGTAAAGCAGTGGTTCTCAAACTTGCCTGAGTGAGAATCTTTTGGGTTGTAAGTTTTTTTTTGTTTTTTTAAATTACAAGTCCCAGAGGATCCATTCAGTGTGTCTAGATGTTAGGGTTCAGGATCACTCCAGGTGATTCTGTTGCAATGCCCACACTTTGAGAAATAGAAAAATTAAAGATTACTAAACTTCCAGTTCCTCAATAATATTTACTGACTGCCCAAGAACACTAACTAGATGAATCTCATTTTAGACAATGCGTATGTTCCTAAAGAGATGTACGCAAGCTGAAATTGAGTCAACTGAATTATTTCAAATGCATTACAGAAGCTGACCGTTAAACAATACCTGTACTGTACTTTGTTAAAATTAACAATTTATTTGTAAACCAAACAAGCACTTATTTCTCATATTCTTATTTTTTGCATACCAACTGAATTAAAGAGCCCCAAGAACTAGACAGAGTAAGTGAAAAGAAAGATTCAAAATAAATAGATGATTTATTCATACTGCCCCTCCCCCCGCAACCAAAGAGGGATGTGATGAAATCAGTCTTCTAGCGTTTTTTTCCAGTTCAGTAGTACTATTTGCACCTGTCTGGTTACATCACTGCATCTATGAATCCCAAATCCACACAAGCCCTCTCCAATCAACTTAAATTTCATGAAGCTGCACTAGCCACCCCAATGTCAGGCAAAGCAAAGTTTATACATTCAGAACCATGACACTCGTATAACCAGTGCTGTACCAAGATCTTGTCAAGTGTCCCCGCTTCTTCTGACGGCTGATCTGGTGAAGGCACTCTCTAGCTCATGTTCCCAATTAGAGTGAAGAGTTGTTACCATTAATGTGGTAGATAAGGATGCAGGCTATCTATTAACCAAAAGTTCAAAGGAAGCAGGGCTGGGCCTCACCTTATGAGGATGCTTAAGCCAGGATGCTATAAAAATCATGCCTACTCTTTCTACCATTACAGGGTAGAGTAAACCTATGACACATTTGGTGCCATAGAAAATGCTGAATAGCATAGTTGACTACCCGGTTCCCCTTTCTTTAGGGTGGGCCCCCATTACTCAGGGCTGAGTCCCCAACACAGCCATAACTATACTCTGTGGCTCGCCTTGCTGACAGCACGCTCAAGAGAAGATCTGCAAATCCTGTAGATGAGGTTTCCAGAGCTGTCCTGGTCTTGCCCTTCCTGAGACTTAGTTGTTAATTTTCCTTGGATTCTGTAATTTATTCTACGATCTTTCCAATATCTGCACCCCTTCCTTTTTGTTCCCTGCTTAAACATATCAGAGTCAGAGTAGAGCACCTGGAGTTTATCTTATTTCCAGAGGTTTTTGGTTAATGAGGTGACAGTAATGACTGCAATACCCTAATCTAAACCAACAATTCTCGCCTGAACTACTGCAGCAATCTCCCTAGAAACTCATCCCACTGCTTCTACTCTTGCTTCACTCTATGCATTCTCTGCAAGGTGGATACCGAACTTAAATTTTAACCAGATCAGTTGCTCCTCTGATCATAATTCCTAAAAAAAAAAAAAAAAAAAGACACAGGCTCAACAATTTACTGTGTGGTGAGTAACTTAAATTCTCTACACCTCACTCTCTCTGTAAAAGGGGCATAATAATAATAACCTGTCCTGAAAATCAAATGAGAATATACATGTGAAACTATTAAACAGTTGATGATGTATAGCAAGTGCTCAATAAATACTAGCTGTAATTATTACAGCTCTGAAATCCAGCTTCATCTTCACAAATTTTGGCATCTGGTGCAATGCAATACTAAAGAAAAAAGGAAGACTAAAATCACTTTTAGCAGTTATTCTTTTAATCCAATCCTTTTAAGGGTCACAATTCTAAGAATATTTCATGTAACAAATAGAAATTAAATTCATTTTTAAATCAGTGGTTTTTATCTTAGTGTTATCAGTTCAACCGCAAAATGATAAGCATGTCACTATAAATGAGAATCTACAGTTTTAAAAGGTTGAAAATAACAAGAACACTGAAAAGTCTCTATGCTCTGAGATTTCTGCTCACAGAATGACTGCTTAAGCTTAAGGCCTTTAATACTTCATATTTTACATGAACCCATGGCTTACAAATAGAGATATTAAATAGCTAACAACATAAAGAAAATAAGAGCAAAATCATGTATTTTTACCCCAAAAGGAATTGTGATGATTAAGAATTTAAACAGCAGTTTTGAAATACATTCAATTCAGAAATTCTAATTATTTTAACACAACTATATAAATTTATCATAAAGACAGCAGACATTAATCAACAATATCAAAAGCATAAAAAGTAACTTCAAATTCAGTCTTTTCGCAGTGCAGACTTCTAAAATGAAAATAAGCAAGTAACCCTTGTGTCTAATGCAGCAATGAGAAATATACTGAATGTGCAAATTACACACTTATAAAAAGAAAAGTAACTGGAAAACTGTCATGTCCTTTACTCGTTTTTATATGCATTATCTATTTGGCCATCATAAACTAAACTTAAGAATTACCTGTTCTTAATTGCAAACAGATGAGGTTTTTTCTAAGGTATCTAAGAACTAAAAAAAAAAAAAAATCCAAAGGAAAGGATGACTACCATTTCCCCTTAAGCTTCAGTAAAATGTCAAAGAACTTTCAAGACTCAAATCTCCTAGAAGTCTGATGTCAGGTCAAAGTTGTCTCAATGACAGGAAAGCCAACAGATGCCAGGAATGCTTCTGTGCCCAATAATAATTCCAAAAGCATGTAAAATACGAGTGTCCAAATTTACCAAATGGACATATGATTACTCAAATACAACGCTAATGATAATAATAACAGTTAACACTATTAGCCAATGTATTAAGATACATGTATACAATGTATCACAGTTCTGGCTTCCTCAACATTTATTCATCCTGTAACATTTTTAAATAATGAAAGTAACATGGATTCCCCAACAGTGGGCTAAATCGAAAAACAAGGTTCAAGTGTGTGATCTATAGTTCTTTCTACTGTAAACCAAATCCGCGTCTTTATATTAAACAAATTTTTTAAAAATCTACACCTCTGTTCCCAAAGATCTCATAATAGGCACTGTTCACTAGTGATTAAAATATTATTTTTAATCCTTGCATTACCTCACAGCTAAAAACGTCAAGATACCACACCCAATATGTCTGTTTTTTTTTTTTTAACCCGTGGGGGAGGGGTGGGAAATATGGGAGTGGGGATAGTAAACTACATAAAAACACTAAAGGTTATTTCCCTGGAAGGAATGGGAAAGCGCGCAGGTCCATTGTCGCTGTCCCCTCCCCAGGCTCCCAGGGGACGCCTCGCGAGGGGCGAGCGCAGGCCCGGCCTCTGCGGGCTCCCTCCCTCCCACCAAGCAGGGGAACTGGCCGGGACGCGCCACCCGGGGCTACTCACCGGCCGCAGTGCTGACCAGCAGGACGGCCCACAGCAGCGAGGGCACCCGCCAAGGCCGCTGCAGCAAGGAAGCCATCCCTAGGCCAGCCAAGAAGCAGGAGGGCAAAGAAAAGAAATATGGAAAGTAAATTCGGGCAGAGAAATACGGCCGGGGGGGCTTATTCTCTCTCGTCTGACTTCTCCAGCCCGTATTACAATGCAGTCTGAAAGGACAAATGGCAGATGAGAGGACCTAGCTGCAGAGCTTTCATTCCGCTGCAGAAATTGCCTTCATTTTCCTCCCTTGCGGCGGGGGTAGTTCACTCGCCTAGGACGGGGTGCCTCGGCCCCACAAACTGAAGGCATGTCCGTGGGGGAAGGCAGGGAGCCAAGAAGAAATCCCCGCAGTTATTCCCCTCTTAGTTTCACAATATCAAAAAAATATCCAGGTCTGGGAGAAAACATATCCAAGGTGCAGAGGCAGGGCGGGGATTCGATGTGGGCGCCGAGGATCAGAACAAGTTCCCCACCGCCGCGAAGGGCGAAGTCGGGAGGGCGGCAGCGACGCCCGGCGGCGCGAGTCTCATCGCCCGCAGCTCCGGGAGGAAAGGATTCCTTTTTAAGTTTCGGTTCGGTGCTTCCTTCACTCCGATTTCGAGAACAACAAATCCTCTTCCTTGGCTGGATCGAAAAAGGTGCCTGCCTCCATGGACAAACCCACAGCCTTCACGCCTTCGCGGAACAAAACTGCGAGGGGCCGGCCGGGCCCGGCCGGAGGGCTGAGGGGCGACGGGAAGCGGGGGAGGGGAGGGGCCGGCAGGCAGGGCTAGGAGCTCCCCGAGACAGGGGCGGAGGGGAGGGGCCCGGGAGGCTGCCCCTTCTCGCCTTCTCGAGCGCGCTCGTATGTCTTCGTGTCGTCTATTCCTGCTGCTCGATCTTGCCTGAGGTAGATTCCACTATGAAAGCCTCTTCTTCTTCTCCCCTCAATGGCTCTTGTGAGCGAATCACAGTCCCCCCTAGGAAGCCGCCGCCGCCGCCGCCGCCTCGTTCTCCCGCAGCTCTGGGCTCCGGGCGGAGCTCCGGCGTCGCGGGCCGAGGGCGGGGGGCGGCGGGAGGACGGATGTAGGTGGCTGGGGACGGTGGGTGGGCAGAGAGGCGGCGAGACACCCTGCGCCCCTCTGGGAAGCACTTCCAGCGGCTCCGAACAGACCAGACACAAAAGGAGGAGTCGCCGCAGCTGCCAGTCTGCGGCGCTCCCGGTCACCGGAGTCGCCCCGCCCCCGCGTCCTCCGCCTCCGCCTCCGCCTCCGCCTCCGCCTCCGCCTCCGCCTCCGCCTCCGCCTCCTCCTTAGTCTCCGGCTCTTCCCGGCCCTGTCTGTCTCCCGCCTGTGGTGCAGCGCGGGCGGTGGCGGCGGGACTAGGCCCACACTGCGCCTGCGCCCTCACGGCCCCGCCCGGCCCCGCCCCTCGCTCGGGGACGAGCCAAGGTTTACGCCGCGGTCCTCACGCCGCGAGTCTGGCCCCTGAGGAGGGCCGGGTGGGGCAGCCAGTCCGCGGTGGGAAGCAGTAGTCTTCCTCCTCCACGCACACATATCTACCGTACGTGGATGACTTGGGATTTGTGAATGTGTTTAACAGATGTCGGCCACACCTTGTGTCCAGCGTTGGGCTAACTCTTCTGAGCCCCTGACTGAGGCGTTGCGCTCTCCTCCGGGACTCTTGGAGTAAAGCCCCGAGGGGCAGAACCGCCCCATTGTTTCAGGGGCCGGAGCTTGCCACTCCGTATCCCAAAGAATCCAGACGGACCCGCCTTTCCCAGAACCGGAGACCTTGGCCTCTTCGGGTTCCCCTCACTGACTCACACAAAAGCCGGAATTGGAGAGACCACCCCTAAATTGATGTTTTTGCCCTTACTGGTGTCCTGCTTTCCTTTACCACCCATTCTCTTCGCCTTTGACAGGAATATTGAACATTTGGAAGGCTGTGAAGACAGAAAGGAAGCTCTTTCTTTTAAAATTCCTATAAGTCATTCGGTTGTACGTGCTGTCTGTCTCTGCTGCGCGTTTCCACTTCTCGGAGGGTGGGCCTTTATTCACAAAGGCTGGGGGCCTTTGAGAGGACATCTGCGGTGGGGAGTTGCTGCCTCAGGTTAGAGTGGAGGCAAGTCTTCTCACCCAAGGAAATGAGAAGCCCCCCTTTGGTAAAGCAGCATCCCTGGATCGGGAAAGGATCTGTTTCCTCCGTTTTTCTGATTTGCAAATCTGTTGTACCCAAGCAACGAGGATAGGAGAAGGGGTGCCCTCCTGCGGCCCTTACACACCCCTGCGAGATTAGGCCGACTTGGGTGGGATATTTCTAGGAAGGGGGGAGAAGGTGACGTGCGTGGCGCCATGATCCGAAGTCTGTGTTTAATACTTAGCTGCGAAGTGGAAAATTCGCGTGGGAGGGCGATCTTAGAGGTAAAGTCTAGCCTTTCCCTCCCCCACTAAGCAAAGGGTTATTCTGAAGGCTGGTTTTGCTGGTCTTTCATTGTGGCTAAGGGCAGTTCCAAAGATGCATTCATAGCTACACTCCTGAAGTCCTACTCTTTACTTGCTTATTCAGGTCTCCTCTTATCTCTTTATCTGAACTTGATGTAAATAAATCTCCACATTCCTTAAACTGGTTGCTCTTATCATACTAAATATCTTCTATAATTAGAGGTTGTAATAATACCAGCCCAGAATTCTCAGACTCTTTAAAGTTGAAATATTTTTATACTGTTTACCTTTCAGGCAGAGAGAGAAATGTTTCTGTACGTAAACCCCTTAAAGAAAAAAAAAAGGGGGGGGGGCATATGCTTTAATTGCTTAGCTTTATTACTCTATTTTGTTTTGCCCAAAAGGCCTAAAACAAGAAAATAGTATTGTTTACCACTTGCCTTTCAAGAAGTGAGATCTAACACTCAGAGAGATCAGTATGTTAGCGGTGCAGAAAGTTCATTAATTGGTAGTACAGCATACTGTTTTTCTTCCTCAACTTGGGATCAAGTACTTGATTATTCAATTTTTACTCATATAAAAAATTTCCTAAGAAACGATAAGCGTGGTAAATGTGTGGTAAACTATATAGAAAAAAAAGGAAAGGGTCCTAGGAAGTGAAAAAAATGAAAAAATAAATGCCACTTGACTTAGGAATAATTAGTAGATAACTAGATAAGCAACCTTCTTCTCTTCCCTGTTGCTCCTTGTAATATCTCACAGTGAGAAAGATCAGAGAATTGGAACTTGGCAATGGACCTGTCCATTAAGATAAGACAGGCATTCAACAACAACAAAACCCACTGCCAGTTAGTCCATTCCGACTCATAGTGACCCTAAAGAACAGAGTAGAACAGCCTCATGGTGTTTCCAAGGCTATAAATCTTTAAGGAAGCAGACTGCCACATCATTCTCCCACAGAGCAGCTGGTGGATTCCAACAGCCTGCCTTTTAGTTAGCAGCTGAGTGCTTTAACCACTGTGCCACCAGAGCTGACTAGGTTGTAACAACATCCCCCAAATCTTAGCAGTTTGTTACAACAAAGGTTTATTTCTCACACATGCTACATGTTGGCTACAAGTCATCAGGGAACTATCACAAGTGGGCTTCACTAGAAAAACAAAAACAACCAAACACATTGCCTTAGAGTCAATTCTTACTCTTACCGACACCATGTGTTACAGAGTAGAACTGCTGCATAGGGTTAAACAGCTCATGAAACTAAGACTTACATGTTCAAGTCAGTTTCTCACACAAAAATTTATACACACATTGCTGTGTAACCCTAGTTGCTCTGCCTATACTGTGACAGCACACTGCTCCTTTCCACCCTGGATTTCCCGTGTCCGTTCAACCAGCTCCTGTCCCTTTTTTGCCTTCTCGTCTCGCCTCTGGACAGGAGCTGCCCATTTAGTCGCATGTATCTACTTGAGCTAAAAAGAACTCTCTTCATGAGTATCATTTTAAGTCCCATGGTCCAGTCTAATCTTTGTCTGAAGAGTTGGCTTTGGGAACAGTTTCAGTTCTGGGTTAACGGAGAGTCCGGGATCCATGTCTTCTGAGGTCCCTCCAGCCTCGGTCAGACCATTAAGTCTGGTCTTTTTTCTAGAATTTCGTTCTGCACCCGACTTGTCTCCTGCTCCATCAGGGACTCTCTGTTGTATTCCCTGTCAGGGTGGTCACTGGTGGTAGCAGGGCACCATCTAGTTCTTCTGGTCTCAGGCTGATGGAGTCTCTGGTTTCTGTGGCGCTTTCTGTCTCTTGGGCTAATATTTTCGTTGTGTCTTTGGTGTTCTTCATTCTCCTTTGCTCCAGGTGGGTTGGGACCAATTGATGTATCTTAGATGGCTGCTAACTAGCTTTTAAGACCCCAGATGCCACTCACCAAAGTAGGATGCAGAACGTTTTCTTAATAAACTTTATTATGCCAGTTGACCTAGATGTGCCCTGAAACCATAGTCCCCAGAACCCTACCCCTGCTACTCTGTCCCTTGAAGTGTTTGGTTGTTGTCACGGATTGAATTGTGTCCCCCAAAAATATCTGTCAACTTGGCTAGGTCATGATTCCCAGTATTATATGATTGTCTACCATTTTGTAATGTGATTTCCTTATGTGTTATATATTCTATCACTATGGTGTAATAAGATGGGTTAGTGGCAGTTATATTGATGAGGTCTACAAGATTACATAATGTCTTAAGCCAGTCTCTTTTGAGGTATAAGAGACAGAAGCGAGCAGAGAGATGGGGGAACCTCATATCACTAAGAAAGCAGTGCCAGGAGCATAGCGCGTCGTTTAGACCCGAGGTTGCTGTGCAGAGAATCTCCTAGTTCGGAGAAGGATTGATGATGACAAGGACCTTCCTCCAGAGTCAACAGAGAGAGAAAGACTTCCCCTGGAGCTGACCTACTAGACTGTGAGAAAATAAATTTCTCTTTGTTAAAACCATCCACTTGTGGTATTTCTGTTATAACAGCAGTAGATGACTAAGACAGTTGTATTGAGGAAATTACTTAGCTTTTGGTTTAGTCCAGTTGTGCTGACTTCCCCTGAATTGTATGTTGTCCTTTTCACCTAAGATAATTCTTATCTGCTACCTAGTTAGTGAATACCCCTCT